CTCTTTCCCACTTTGTCTCATTTTTTTAATAACTCTTATAGTACTTCACCAATCTAAATTATAAATTAGTCTTACTAATTCCTTAGTTATAATATTTGCAGAAAAATAACAGTACGAATAGAATAATTACAATGAGAAAGTTTAAGACTAGCTATCTCGTTGACATTGAAGAATTTCAACTCCATGGAATTTGAACCCAAAGCTCTGAACACAGTGCCAAATTTGACACTTTTAATGATAAATTTATTAGTTTAAGAATATTAAAATATTTTTAAAACACAAAAACATTGTTTTGGATATGTAAGACTTAAATTAAAAATACATTTTTAAAGCTCAATTATATTTGGTGGACTTTTTTATCCTATCCTTGCAAAATTAAAACGTTATTCTATGGAAATTGGATTAAAATGTTAGACTGTGGGGTAATATTGTGTGGATTCAGACAGTTTTTGGCACAAGAGAGCCGTGAGCCCAAAAAAAAAAATGCTCTTAAATCATTCCGGGAAAAATAATCATTAATTTTCATTTATTCCTCAACCCGTTGTTCCCTATAATATAGTGTAAAATGTCAATTTACTAATTTACTCATAAACATGTCTTTATATGTGTGTATATATGAAAATCTTTTATCTATGTGTATATATATATATATATATATCTTCTATTAATATGGTGATATATGTAGTATCTTTGTTGTTATATAGAACGTACAAACGGTTAACATAGATATACTACATTGCACCACATTTTAAGTGTTGTGCTTTTGTATACATACATATATATATATATTGTTGTAAATATATAAGATTTTTGTAAACACACATCTATTGAAAGTGAGAAAGCTATAAAGAATAATTGACTTTATGAGTGAAGTCCTTGCTGCGTGTAATAAAGTCAGGACCATCTTGATCGTGATAATTTTGAACACAAAAAAATCAGCCACCACAGAAATTAATTTATGTTGTCGAATTATATATATGATTGAAAGTTCGACATATAAGTAGCTTCAATATCTGAGGCCATAGTTTTTTGTTTTTTGTTTTTTGTTTTTTTTTTTAATTATATCTGAGGCCATAGTTAAAGATCTGCAGCACAGGCCTAATCGCGTACAACGGTACGGCACGATTTCAATCTCAAAAGCATTATTCAAGTTTTCGTTTTTTTCTTTTCTTTTTTTTTTTTATAGATTTATGGTGAAGAAGGCTACCTTGCTTCACTCATAAAAATTATGTTTTAACAATTACATTAATTTTTTAATAGTCTGATTTATAGAAGAAACAATTTTGTAACGTACGTTATAAATTTTTAATATGAATATGCGCAAATTTAATCATTAAAAACAATAATTTTTACTGATAGAGTAAAATAAATGGCTGGCTGGCTGTATATATGTATGTGAGCTTGCTTAGAGTTTCATTCATTTCCCATTATTCCCCTAAACCGATTAAATTTGTGATAATTCCTCAATCTCCCTCATTATTCCGTTTAATTAATATTTTAAAGTATAAGATAATTGAATAACATACATTCAATATCTCTCTCCAAGATGCTTCCTCTTCCTCTCTTCTCTCTCTTTGTGGGTTAGGATTTGTTAGAAAGTTTGGGTTTTTAGGGCTAAATCTGACGTTGTTGATTGGCTGGCCGTCAGATTTACAGTCCCAGAGACAGAGATTGAGGTATCCTAGGTGAGATTGCAGGTGATTAGTTATATTAAGAAACGTATCTTTTTACATTTTAGTACATAATTTATTTTTTTATGTGTGCTCCCACAGGAATAAAATTCTAGATGTGACAGATTCTACATAATTTTGGATTATATTCTAGTACATAATCCAAAATGCTTGAGGCCATTTACAAAATTACCATGTCATAATTATTCGATGCATAAACAAAATTCGTTCTTACTTCTTTGTTTACTAGTTTATAGAAAAAGCTTTTCATTTATACTTGTACAAAAATAATCAACTCCTAAGAAAATATCAAAAACACCCTATGTATTCAGTCAAAATAGCATTTTTACCCCGCTTAGGATGCAAAGGTGAAGTATCCTAGTGTCTTTAAAATCAACCACAAAATGTTCCCTAAATCGATTAAAATTTTGATAATACCATAATCTCCCTCATTATCTTGTTCAATTATTATTTTAAACATTAAAAAATTGAATAATAAACATTCAATACCTCTCTCCAAGAGGCTTCCTCTCCCTTTCTTGTCTCTCTCTCTTTGTGGGTTAGGATTTGTTAGAAAATTTGTATTATTCCTGTTGATTGATCACAAGTAAATAAATAAATAAAGTTTTCACTCAAGAGCTTTAAAAACTAGAGCTTTCACTCAAGAGTTTAAAAAAGTTTTAAAATAAATAAAAGTTTTAAAAACTAAAGCTTTCACTCAAGAATTCTAATAAAAAACGAGGTCCTTTTAAGGAAACATAGGTTTTTTCTTCCAAACAAAAAAAAAAAAAAAACTAGTCCTATTTTCTCATCTTCTGCCATTTTGCCTTAATGTTACACTCTACAGTTAACATCTCATCTCTTCTTTCCTCCTTTTGCTATTTCAAAATTACCGCAGCCACCTTTCTCTAAAACAAAACTCTAACCCAGCTAATAGTTTTTCCTTGTCATCTTCTTTCATTCTCTTGTTATGATTACGCATCAACTGACCGGCTAATTGTTGGTCGGTATGTAACGTTAATCAATCAATGGCGTCAATTTATCGGTGACAGTTTTTGATTTAGGCAACAATCCCAAATTAAGAACACCACTAGTAGAAGATTTACTCAATAAAAAATCCTACATATATAGAAGAGTGCATATTTTTGTCCCGTTCAACTTTCGTCGTTCAAATCGCACATGGTGCTTTCACGGTTTTTTTAACCCCATTATTCACTCTATTTTCCGTCTTTCTTTCTTTCTTTAAGATTTTATCTACATTTGTCTCTTATAATGACGTTTTATCTCTCTTTCTTTTCTTTCTTTTGATGCTTTACCTTTTTTTCTTCTTTCTTTTTTGCTTTCCTTTTATCTACATTTTTTATGCTTTCCCTTCCTTCTTTCTTCTTTCTTTCCGTTTTTTTTCTTCTTTCTTTCTTTTTTTTGTTTTATCTTTGTCTCTTTCTTTTTTTTTTCTTTTTTTCTTCTTTCTTTCCTTTTTTGGGTTTTATCTACATTTCCTTTCACGCTTTATCTCTCTTTCCTTTTTTTCTTTCTTTCTTTTTCTTTCTTCTTTCTTTCTTTCTTCTTCTTCTTCTTTCTTTCTTCTTTCTTTCTTCTTTCTTTTTTCCTATAATGGCATTTTTTTCTTCTTTCTTTCTTCTCTTTATATTTCTCTTTTATTTTTTCTCTAGTTTAATGTGACCGCTCTTTCTCGTAGATTTTCTTAAGTCTCAAATCTCAACTTAATTTCTCATTAGAATAATATCCTTACTTGTAATCAATTCTTTTTAATTGCAATTAGTTTATTTGATTCATATATATGGCTATTGTTTATTGCATAGTAATCTAAAACGGTTAGATTTAGATGCTTTACTTTTTTTTGCCCTTCCCTTTTTAAGTTCCAACTTCCTTTTTTTTTTTTTTATGGTAGTCCAAAACGACTAAATTTACCTCTTTTTTTTTATTTCTTGTATTTTGTGATTACATATAACCTTTTCACTCATACTACAATTAATTAATGTTTACTGATTTTGAAATTCTAAGTTTTGATTTTATATATATTGTTGTTCATATTCTACATTATAAAAGTCTCTATTACAACTTAATACGTACATTAGCAGTGCCTAAACTAGTATTTTAGAAAAACATCCAATTAACATCTTAAATATATCAATTCGTATTTACTAGTAAATTACTAATGTTTCTAATTGTTTTTGTTTTTCACGGGACACACGGAATACTGATGCTTCAATCTATTTGAAATATTGCTGAGCAAAAGAATAATTTGTATTTTTCTTTTTATTTTTCTTTTTTTTATGAAAAGCCATGCGTATTTTTCAAAACATAATTAAAAAAAACAAAAC